AATTGGAGCGTTACCGACAGGTAGAGCGATGTGACAACAAACCAGGGACAGGAAAACAGGTAAAATCCGGTAAGAGGACCAAAATTAGTAGCCCGTAGATTCTAGTGTAGATGAGGGGAGGAGCAGTAGGAATAGGTGGTAGGGTAGAATCTGATAGCATAGACGTTGTCGGTTGGAGGGGTACGTGCCCCCCAAACGCAAAAAAAAGAAAGGAACAAGCCCAAGTACCAAGAACAGCCGGCGCTGGTGGAAGAGGTCGAGGCGCCGTACGCCAAGCAGAGACGACTGAAGCAGGAGTTGTGTGTCCCAGCTAGAGGAATACCGGGATGTGTGGGAACGCCCCAAGGCCGCGCAGGTATGTTACGAGGCTAAGTTCGAAGTCACGGGAAAGCCGTACAAGGCTCGTGTGAGACACTACGAGCCGGATATGCGGCAGGAACTGGAAACCCAGGTCCAGAAACAGCTGGAGTTGGGCGTGATCAGGCCGTCGAAGAGCGAGTGGGCGGCGGCCCCCCACCTCGTCAAGAAGAAGACCGCCGAGTGGCGGTGCGTGCTGGACTACCGGAAGCTGAACGAGTCAATGATTTCCGACTCTTACCCGCTGCCGAGGATGTGGGACCACCTCAGGAGGGCGGCGGGGCGCAAGTACTACGTGACCCTCGACATGAATTCGGGCTTCTGGAACGTGCCTATCGAGGAGGGGTGCAAGCACCTCACGGCGTTCATAACTCCGATAGGCCTGTTCGAATTCAACGTAGTGCCTCATCGCGCGGTGGATCTCCGTCCTCTGATTTCTACTGAAATTCCCCCAAACCACTGACCAGGATGCCGCAGCAGCCCGTGGAGTGAACGCGACAATATCTGCGACGACTTCAACGCGACGGTTCGATTCCCGCTCCTACCATTGCTCCGACCACATCACAACCCCCGCCACCGCCCCATGTAGTGCCGTGTAACTGGTTTTAGTGGGTAACTGAGAGTGCAGGGTGTGTAACTGATGGCCACTGGAAGCTGTCTCATTGGACGACCCGGGTATCAGTGCCCCACACACACCAAGCGAGCGCTTCACCATTTGAGCTAGGCCGTGGCGCGAGTGTGTGGAGTGCGATG